GATTCCTTACTGTATTCTGTTTTCACTAATATGTGGAAGTGTGAGATCTGTCATTATAAGAGATCTGTTCTATGTCATTGGTAAAGAAGAAGAAGAGCCTCAAGAGGACTAGTAAAGATGAAAGAATATGTTGTACTTTTTTTCACCTGCCAAGCTGAATGAACGATGTGTATGTAGATATTTTCTTCTGAAGTGATTTTCTTGTGTGTTTTGTGGTACTTCGTGCTAGTTTTTCTCATGAAGAATTTTGCCCATACTTACTTTTTGCCTGGTGACTGTATGTGCATTTTGCTGTTTGTACTTGTATTATGATTTACTTTTATCTTTGCTGAAACTGGTTGTGGTAATATTATATATATATATTTATTTCATGAATTCCGGCTGCATGCTGTATTGTATACATATATTTTTTATAAATATACAGAGGCATTTGGTACTTATACCAGTAATCATGATTTGTGTAAGTTACGTCGGCTGTTGTTCTGTCCAATCAAAACCTCCACGGAATTTTTGGGAAGGACAATGGACTGGATGAAGTGGCAATGGGTAGGCTTGTAATGTAATCAAATTTTTACACTCTGGTAAAAAAAAAAAAATCAATCATCTCTTCTGCGAAACTCCCACCTTCCATCCACCGCCATCTTCCTTCATTGTCCGTGCCGTTTCATGTGCTATTAACGAATTTGATGACAGTTTTGTTTGGGTTTTTTTTGTTTAATTCATACAGAGGTAGGGTATCATGTCGGGAAAAAAAGATTTGGAGGGGTTGGGGTTTTTTTTATTTGTAGAAAAAGTAGACTGTTGAGGCCACCTGAGGTAAAAAGCTGGGTAGATCTGTGTCTCTTATGATAATTATATGTTTATGCAAAAGCTTGTGTCATATTTTGACTTTCAGATTGTCTCTTTTCGAGTAGCAAAAACAAATATTTGAAAAATAATATTTGAAAAAATATGTTAGGTGAGTGGTGCGAATGAGTTGACCATTATCTCAAAACTTCACTTGAATTTCTAATTGAAAGTGGTGGGTTCAGAGTTAGCTACGCCATCTCAAATATGACTCTCAAGAAGCTACTAGTAAATTAAGAAAGATGATGTGTTGTTAACAGTTTTTTTTATACAAAGTTTTGAGCTTCAACGCGTGTGTTAAGTTTCGTTCTCTCACTTTGCATAGATGTTATTACAGTTAACGTTTAAACAAACTTAAGTATGTATTGCTTCTCAAGTTTTTAGGGGCTATAGAAGAGTAACATTTTTGTGTCCTTTTGAAATCAAGTTTTATTCACTGGTCACTATTGCAGGCCTGGATAGTTCCAGCAGAATTTCATTCGTTTTACATCGCTTCATTATCATATCTGCAGCTGTCAAGCTGAGGGGCTGGGTGTTTTGTCCTACTTGCTTTGCATTTCAATAGGGGCTGGCTGTTTATTGCTTTTTTGCAGCTTTATTCTTTTTTTTGTGCATTATTTGGG